CGCCATACAACCCCGATCAGCCCACTGTCCATTAAAAGGGCTGAAACCTACTTAAGAGGGCATAGCTTATCTCTCCTGCCGGCAGACAAAGAAGGCGGTTTTGTGCTCATGCACAAGGCCTTGTTTGGCAATAAGGCCTTAACGGCCATTGAGTCAGTCTTCCATTGCCATCAAGATATCACCTTAAGTAAGATCAAAAGCCAAGCCAAGAAGCTATGTAGCTCTCTTGACCTCAAGCAACTTTGTTCATCCATCGACAAAAGCAAATTATCCAGCCTTGAGATTTTCTTCAGTGCAAAAACGCACAAGACTGATTGCCCCCTCAGGGTCATTGTGTCTGAACGAGGCACTTGGCAAAAGTCCATCGCAGTGTTCCTCCAAGACAAACTAAACCTTCTTGACATCAATGATCCCTACCTGATTAGGAGCTCAGATGAGGTCTGGCAATTCCTCCATGATGTCACAGATAGAAGTCTCAACGCCTTTTCCATCGACGTCAAAGACCTTTATTATGCCCTCCCTCAAGACCGTCTTCTTAGGTGCATAGAAGAAAGTGTTGACTCCTTTGGTGTCATAGCCTTTCAAAACGCGTCAGGCGTCTCAGTCAAGGGTTTCCTAGATTTAATAACCACCTACTTGAATTCTACTTTTGCCACCTGGGAAGGCTTAACATACCTGCAGAAAACGGGAGTATGTATTGGTTCTTGTATAGCTCCTGTACTCAGTGACCTTTATCTGGCATTTCATAACAGATTATTGCAGCATAACCTTGACCAGTCCAAAGTAGTGCGTGTGTTTCGGTACGTGGATGACTACCTGATTTTACTTGACAGTAACAATGGAACCTTCCCCGACTTAGTGGCCAGTGTTCTGTCCACCTTCAAGGACTGCCTTCACCCGTTAAAACTCACCCATGAGCTTCCGGTTGAGCGATCTATAAGATTCTTGGACCTACGACTATTTTTTGAAAGCAATCACACCTGCTGGTCGTACGAACCTCGAGCAAAGAAGCCTCTCCTCAACCATAGCTCCGCCCACTCTAAGCTTGTAAAAAGAGGCATTGTAAAACTATGCCTAAAAAACTCTCTGGAAAAATCTTGCAAACACACAGTCCCTACGAGTTTCAACATGCAAATTTCTCGGTTGGTTTTAGCGGGCTACCCCCCGTCTTTATTAACTTCCGTTGCCGAAGTCCTACTCAGGGAGGTCAAGCAGGAAGGAGCTATAACACGCAGAACCAGAGACCGCACCACAAGGCCTGTCATAGTTCCCTACATCCACAACTTATCCCACAAGCTTAAGAAAATGGCCAATAGAGTCAACGTAGACGTTGTCTTCTCCGCGCCAAATAGACTTTCTAGCTTGTGCAAGAAGGTCAATGGGACATCTAGTCGACCAGTTGGATGTATCAAAAACCACCTGAACAAGTTCGTGTCCTGCATTGAGGGAGTCATCTATTCCTTCCCCCTCACATGTGGCAAGTGTTACATCGGACAGACGGGTCGCTGTCTAAATGACCGACTTCGTGAGCACCACAACAATGCCATAAATGCCAACTCAGGTCATTTAGGCCTCCACTGCAGAGCGTGTGGATGTTCTCCCCTCCTAGAGAAATGCACCATACTGGGACAGAGCAGGGACAAAACGACGCGGGAAATAGTAGAAACCGCTAACATTGTAAGGCTAGATAGGATATGTGTTAGCACTCCTTCGCTAGCCTTAACGGAGAAAGAGTTGAACTATATAGAAAAAGCACAGTAGCAACGTCCGCTGTACAGGGAATTCATTACTTTTTTCCTTCTATATTTTTCTTCCTTCTATATTTTGTTTTTAATCCTTTTTCTGTTCTTGCCTTTTCTCTTTTTCATATGATCCTTGATTTTTTGTTTCACTGCCATTTGCATCGGAGTGAGTGAAGATGAAGATGAGGCATAATACATTTGAGTTGTCAGTCAGCGCTGCGTGAGTGTTCTTCCTGTGTATGCGTGATTTTTCTTTTTAAGTGTGTCTGATCTTGTGCGCTGTGAAGCATTATCACTGTGGGAGAAACCAGAGCTTGCATTTTAAAGCGGTGGACGACGCTGCGCAGCCTATCTTTTCACCCTCCACCTGAGACTGAAGCCGAAGCTACAAGCGCGAGCTAGCCCGCGCTCCTGGCTTTGACAAGTGCATGTATAAAGCGAGCGCTCCTTCTGCGGAAGAACGCTTCAAAGCAGCGATTTCCAGCTCTCGTGCTTGTGGCATTGGCTGCAAGCCCAACATAAAGCCTGTTCCACCGTGGCCTGGTCACACATGCAGCGGAGCGCTACAAGCATAGTGCTGACCTCGCGCTAATCGCGCGCTGACGGGGCCGTTCACCAGCTTTGTATCGTACCGTCAAACGTGTTGCTCGTGGCGGACGACAAGTAGTTGATGACACGTGAGAAGCGCGCTTTGCTACATGTGAGAACCGGCCTTAAGGGTGAACGGAGTATTGGCGGCGATGTGTTTTGGTGGCGCCCTCGTACGGTTACCTCTCGTGGCGTCATTACCTTGCTAACTACAAGTTCGATGGTGTTTGTAATGAGCATGGTGGAAGCTTGAAATTATAGCGCTCGGAAACCAATACTGCCATCACCGTCAAACTTGAAGTTTTTTCATTACTCCCTTTTCCGTCGATGAGAAATCCTCTACTGAGGTCATAGTCACCATTCGGGCAATCGTGGAAGGCCGATCACAGCGACGTTTTCGATGGCTCACGTCGCCAATAGCCTGCGTCAGTGTCACCACAAGTGCCTTCAAGGCACGTTGGCTGCGTCTCACGAGGAGCGTAATGCTGCTGCTGCACTGCGAACGCCAAGGTACTCGCGCCTGCAAGTTTGGCCTTTACTGTCGTCGAATTTGACGCGGGCTTGCCATTTAAGGAGGGCCTGGGATCCACTAACGATGACGCAATGCACCCACAGCAGCTTTCGTTTCTATGATACGTCTCAATTTAACCGTCCAATGTACGGTAGAACTGTTAAGGGTTTTACGTATGCTATGCGGGCAGAAACTGAGGGAGAGGAGCAAAAAAGAGCACGTGGGGACGCCAGAACGTTAAGATCTGGCTGAAAGTTTTAGCTTTGTCTCTACTGAATCTTCGAACGCGTTCGAACGACGAACGCCCGTGTCCGGAGTTTGGAGCTTGCGCTTGAGTTCGCGAAACGCGTTCGAACAACGAGTATAGACATAAGACACCTAGCTTCGCGTCTACCCTCTCCGACGTCCGCGCGCGCTTTTATTTCCTCCTCTCTTACAATGTCCATCCGTATAGTAAACCGCCAGCGACGAGCCTCTTCGATCCTTTTGCCCAATATCCTCGAACACTGGACTATCCTCCTGACATTGCGGAATTCAGAAAACATAGTCTCTGTCTCTGCCATACATCGCGTATACGTTGGAACGAATAAACAAAACAGAAGCACCGGACGAAAACGGATGAGGTTATTTTTCCTTTCAGTTCTATACGTACACCGCCAAGTCCAAATATTGCCTCTGCTTTTGGGTCTCCTCCAAACGTTGCGGCGTGTTCTTTTTATTTGAATATATAAAACATTCCTCTACGTCTGTTATACCGTGTAGCTACCGTGGAACGTCATGTTTTATGTAGGCTCATGCATTGATGCATGCCCCACTTTGCCCGAGCAACGTGCGTTATAAATATATAATACGCCACATCGAGGTTTTAAGATTTTCCGGTATGCCGTATGGCTGAATCCCTTTTGGGATAACATTCCAGGGGGGTTACTGTTCGGTCGCTACCCCAACAACTCGGTTTCGTCGAGAGCCAAACGGAGAAGAAGGCAATGAATTACAAAGATTAATGAAATCACAAAACTACGGACCCATAGAATGGACTAAATACCGGGCACGTGTCTTTGCTCCCAAGCTTTAACATAGTTAAAAAAACTTTTGCTTGCGGTTGACGAAACAATGTAATCCGAACAGGTTCATTTCTTATCTAATTCGTTTTGGTCGTAAATTTAATTATAGTGGATAGCGGGAAAACGATGATTGAATTTACACCTAGATGTGTGCTTGCGGTTGGTCCGATGCTGACGTTTAATGATATTATATTAACCTACTCGCTCTAGATAGTTGACTTGTTCAGAAGCTATATAATGAGTGAAAAGTGAAACCAGTATTGTACACAAACTGCTAACCACGATTAAAAACAATAACAACAACAAAAACAACAACACGGATCAGTAAAGAGTATTCTGAATAGACATAGTACATTTTAACGAATTATTCGAACTCTGAATACGTCGCAGAAAATGCATCTCAATTCCGATAATAAAACAAAGGTGTACTACTGGATAGAAGCGCCGAAGGACAGGACAATGAAGAAGGTAACGACAACACGGAGCGCACTCGCAACTGAAAGTTTATTAGAAAACACACGGACTTCAATACTTTAACAAAACCACGTCATTTCTGGCCACCCCACTCTTTTAAATATATAGAAGATTTTTTTGTTTTCATATTTCATATTCCATTTCATATATTTCATAGTTCAGACAAAGTAATGACCGATCAAAATTGACCAAAAAGCGACCGGAGTGACGAGTTTGACATGTTTTTTTTAGAAAACAATCAAATTCCTAAAATTATTTAAATACATCAAGGTATCTTTATAATATTTACTAAATGAGGGGAAAAAGTTAAAAGGGTGTAGGAAAAACACTAGCGATAGCACAGGGTGTCAAACACGCGACCAGTGACGGAGGGCAAAAACTCTAGTTTCTGCCACTGCGGCTTCTAGGACTCGTAACGCGAGAACAAAAATTCTGGGGAACATGCGGTTTGCGCCCCCTTCATTTGGGAGATTCCACCAAAACATATATTTTTTTCGTGAAAATTAAAAATTATAACCTTTTAGCCTGCCCGATTTGAGATATATATATATATATATATATATATATATTTATTTACTATTTATTATTTTTTTAATCAAATTAAATATATCGAACACTTACTCCGGCCGACGAATCGGTAGGTTCCTCGGAATCCCGTATTGTCTCCATGCCGCCAGTCCGTGTGAAATTCGAAGACCAGCGTCCGTCCCGAAGAGTAGTGAACCTGTTCAATGTCCGCCTCCTTTCCGCACAGGAGAGAGTTCCACCCACTAGAAGCGTCCACGCCGGTCTCGTTCAGGTGGAGGAACAGTCTCACAAAGTCTCCGTATAGGCACCTGAAGAAATGAAAGAACAGAGACGGAACAAATGACTACTATTATTTATTGTTTTTATGCCCTTATACTTCAGGCAGCAGCGCTGCACACGCGGAGGAGGGTTACAACAGGTGTGGCAGAAAGAAGCTGTTTTTATTTTGTGCTTGTCTCTGTGTGTTAAAAATGTCAGGTCACCCTACAAAAAAAATTTTCGCTACGAAGTCGCGTATTTTATAAGGAAAGCAATTAAACGGTAACGAATGATTTCAGCTCGAGGAAAGGTGGTATTGCAAAATCTGGAAATCACTTGGTAATTCCACTGCAAGGGAACTACGCTCTCAATTTTTATTTACTTTTTAGTATTGAAATATCTGGATATTTAGTGGTTCTGTTGTCATAAAAAGTGATAGTCATTACGTTAGGTAGTATAAGTATAAATTTAAAAAACAAAACCTCAGACGTCCTAATATAAGTTATCAATATTCCGAATTCCGCGTCAGCACCGTCATGATGACACCGCGACTGATAAAACAAATTTTAAAAACTTCGCTGAGCACCCGCTTCCAGACTGCTTACTTTTGACAGGAATATATATTTTTTATATTTTAACTTTTGCCCTTTGCCTTGAAGTAAAAAAAATGTCTTTAAGGGCACAAATACTTTGTCCATATCAATTTTGATGAAGTTCACCACATGCTTAACCAGGGTAACGAACCTTGAAGTGCTTTTCAGAAATGACACCTTCTGCGTTCATTGTTTTGTCAAATTCAAACTTTGCGACATCTCGGAAACTGAAAGGTAAACACGGGGAATCATGTATGCTACCGGTGTGGAATTTGTGAGTCAAACTTCATTGGTCGTATGGGAGGACTTGCCCCGTTTAATATACTTACAAATCTTTGCAAACGTATATCGTAGGTACAGGAGCATTACGTTGTATCAGACGCTTAGTTAGTAATTCTTCTTGCTTTTATCTAGCTCCATCTAGCTATAAAATTCAGAATGAAAACGACCAGAGCGGTTCTTATAAATCTCTTAATTTCAAATTTTGTTTATAGAGACAAAATTAATCCGGAAAATACGCGAGCATCGTTTTTTTGTCTTTCAGGTGGAAGCAGAAAAGTGTGTTTTTTACACTGCGGTACCCTCTGCATAAAAACAATAACCACAAGAAACTTGAGAAACGTTTGGAGGAGCACTAACTCAAAGCTCATTTTCTGAACGTCGAACTCGTCGAAAGTGAGCTCGACGATGTCGTCAGGTCCCCCGATGAAGGTGTACAAAAGGCAGTCCATGTTGGCCTCGTATGGCGTGGGCCAGTTGGGCGACGTGAAGATGCCGTGCTCCTTGCCGTACATGCTGTCGAACACCACGCACCTACAACCTGCGAAGAAGAAAAAAGCGGGCGTTTTGTTAAGAAACACGACGCCTACAGCAAACAATGACGTCACCGTGGTGCGTCTCCTTAGTTACCTCAAATGCCACCAGGGGCGCCGATCGCAATTACGTGAGATGTTTACTCTTAAAAAAAATTTATATGCGCGTCGCAATTTAAGGCGAGTATGTATAGCCACTACTTGTGCTATTGAACGTACTTTAGGCTCAAGAATGACCTCAAATATAATATTCGAGCCGCATGGCACATTTTTGCACGTATTCGCTCGAATCAAAGTAAGGACGGCCCATGATCCTTAGAAAACTTCGTCTGTAACGTTTTCCTTACACTATAAGCAAGTGTTTTCTAGGAACAAATTGAAGCAGCAGAGGCACGCTACAAACTTTAGGAATCAGCCAATCAGATCGCTCGGAGAGCTTAACAGATTAACATGAGTTCAGGGAAGTCACCGCGGATAAAGTTGCTGGGTACGTTTAACCCTTTTTTAAAACACCGCGGACCCACCGGAAAATGAACAATTTTGTCAGTTTACTTATAATCCTGCATAGGTGAATCCGGCTTGTGATAAAAAAACTTACCAGGGCGAATACCGGCGAAGTTTCCAGACCAATAGGTACTTTATCTAATGATCGTAGCGCTGTGTCATTCTGGCTAAAAAAAAGGGAAAAGAAACTAACTGCGTTGCGACGGCTCTCACTAATGAGAATCACCCGAGCAATCACGCGGCTGGAAGAACTTCCGCCTTTGGTTCATTCAGCACGCCGTTTTGTACACCTGCATAATAGAGAAGTTTAGCGAGAGCTTGATTACCAATTTTTTAATAAACAATATATTACTGCGACAGCTAAATGCAATTCAAACGAGCATTTATGGATATGACAATCTTTCAAATATGTCGGCGTTAATATTACCCGCGCAACCCGAAGTGTTCTTCTTTTTTTTTGGAACACCGAAAGAATACCTGAGTCGGCAATTATGTGTTACTTGCGCGGTGGCATCCGACGTTAGGTGCACCTGTGACGACATAAGCGCAAAAGCATCTGGCAAGTAATATTTTGGCGCACAAAAAAAAAAAAAAGACGCACCATGCGGGCTACGCTAAACGATAGCAATTAGCTTCATTGGGTACCGCCAGCTTAGTGTCCCTCAAAAAATAAAAAAAAATAAAGCGCCAATTAGGCACGCAGGTAAAGTGTGATGGCGATAGTATGGCTACTCATTACCTGATTTTTGTGCTAGCACTGTTCCGCATTTTTACCGCACTGCATTCGAAACACTGCATTCGTACTAGTGTAAACTCTATCTCGGCGGTTTATTCTTTAAACTTTGCATATAAAGATAAGTGTCAAACCACAATGAGTATTGAATAGGTTAAGGTCTGACAGAAAAAACGTTACAGCGACTTCGATCCTAACGACGTTACCACTTGTGGGTTCACCGATGGCACAAAAAAAATTCACAGGGTTTCTTATGTTATACCCAAGACGACTTGAAGGCGAAAGTCCAAGCGCCAATGTATACGTGATAGCGAAACTCCGAAGACAGTGCGCTCTCTTACGACGCACTTCTGGCGCCGTTTCATTGGTAGCTTTCGTTGTTTTACCATTCGTGTCACCGGCGTGTTTTCGTACTTTTCGTGTCGCCGACGTGTTTTCGCTCAAGGACTTGGAAGGTCGACTGAAAAAGCGTTCGGTCAGGTTGTAGGCATGTTAAACCATCCTGGGTCCCTAATCTGTATACTTGGCGAAAAAGTTGGCGAGATATCCGACGCCTATGATTGGCCGGCGCCAAGGTCGAGTGCGGTTTTGGCCAATCACGGCCGCCGAATTTCTCGCCGGCTTTTTCTCGAAGTGTCCAGATTAGGGCCCCCTGCCACTTCAACCGCGAGCACCCCGCAGTCACTGATAAAAGTCCGGCGCAAAAGGATGTGAAGAGACTCGTGTGGGACGCGGCGAATGCGGCGATGAATCAATAAAGGGCTACGTGCGCTCGAAGCAGTACGTTGTTTCATTCTCTGAGGCGCGTAGCAGCAAGGGAAACCCATCAAGCCGTACAAGAAAAGTAGAGAATAATGGTGACTTCTCTCTCAAATAATTATGAATGCAGTGCGTCACGCACTGCGTACATAATTCACCATGAAACAGTTGGACCATCTATTATCGCTCTGTAGTGAATCACTCCAACAATATACTTTTTTTTTATTAGGTCCGTGCCCTTCAGTAGCTACTTCGTGGACTATCTGAGACTGCAATAATTTGGCTTGGGCTTTAAGCAGCGATTATACACGAATGCTGCATCAACGTTCAGCATCAACTCGGGTCCAATCACGCCATTCGCACAGCAAGCGATGTCTAAAATATAGCGGCTGCCAGTGTTGCTCGATTGGATTCAGAAAGCGGTCCATCATGAGATGTCGAAATCGCAAGGCCCGGCTTATGTTCTTGTACATCGCGCGCTTAGACTTTTGTATGATATGACTACTGTCCTCCAGAAAGGTTACCTTACAAATTAGGTTGACGAGCTCTGTACATATCGACATCAAACTTCTCTTTTGTACGAAGTTGATTCCACCTAGACCTACCTAATATGCATTGTTGCTTAAATAGACTCACGGGATTCAGACGTTCTTCTCAAGAAATTCTGAAGTTAACAACTGTTTTATGCAGAGTCCCTAATAACAGTGATCGGAACGTATAAAAAATGTACTGCTTCGGAGAACGAAAATCATTAGAATCTTAGTACCAATAAGAAGACTGAAAACTATTCCGTCACCGCGATCGGGAGGTTGCACTCTTTCAAATAAGCAACCTGGCTTGAAACAAGCTTAATTAACTTTTAAATATTTATATATCTACAAATTATTGTTCACTTCATTTTGAATAAACATCAATTACTCGATGAAGCATTGTTATGACTGCTTAATTCTTCCGCACTCGCTCGATAGTCGGTTTCTCCGCAAATAGTATGTCCATGAGGAGAAGAGAACTTTGCATACCTGACAGCAGAGCTTTATATGCCTGAAAGGTGCGGTGAAAAAATTCTCCTTCTTCCACTAAATATCGCTTAAAATTAATCGTTTATGTTTATAGCCCACGAAACACGAAGTAAGCTTTTCTCCACAAAATGGGAATCACAAAAATAATTAGAGAAAACAACAAGCAGCGTTCACCGAGCTCTCGTTGCTAGAACGAGAGGTAACGTGAACAGGTACCTATTTTATGTCACTAATGTTCACCATAGCCACGCGCTGAGGTTGTCAAAGCATAGGGCATTTACATCGTTAGAATTCGTCTATTCCCGTCATTGCAGCGTTTTAGAAAAAGCCACTATTTGAATGTTACCGAGGTATCGACAGTCAAAGGCCTTATAAGAGTCATCACGGGTGTGCTCGAATACAAGCCATGAGCGGCATTCGACTATGACCAAGGGTCAATTTATGCGGCTATTTCACCAAGTGAAGCAGAACCGAGATTGTCAAAAATATTGCACAAAATATTTCTTAGTTAAGCTGCGCAAAAAAAAAAAAAAAAAGAAAGACGTTTACAAATCTTTGTAACGCGAAACTAGACCGCACCTCTTGAGGAGAAGGAAGGGACGGAACGGAAGGGAGGGTACGCACCTCCTGCTCCTCCGTACCCTCCCCTCCTCCTCCTCCGCCTCCTCGTCTTAACCCTCATCCTCCAAGCCTCATCCCCCTCCTCCTTCCTTCCTCATCCTCCTTTCCTCCTCCTCTCCTCCTGCCACCGAATTTCTTCATGGGTGACGTGACACAAAGTCGTCGCGTCATTTTCCACGCTAAATTTAGCGGGAAACTAAATTTGTGTTGAGGTCAGGCGACGTCAGTTTCACCGCTAAATTTAGCGGGCAACTTAAACCACTAAAATGAGTGGGCTAAATTTAGTCGGAAAATTTTCCCCTAAATTTAGTGGAAGCATTACCCCGCTAAATTTAGCAGAAAAAGTTCCCCATTTTCCCCTAAATATAGCGAAAAAATCTCCCCACTAAATTGAGCGGCAAAAATTTCCCCGCTAACTTTAGCGCGGAAATGTCCCATTATGCAACGCGCGGTTACGCCGACGCCCACGCCAACCAACCCGGAAACGGGCGCCTAAGAGCTGCGCTCTAAAAACGTTTGATGTGGCAGTGGCGTGGCGTGATAGCTAGTGGTCACACTAGTGAAAGTATACTTGTGTCAAGTGAGAAACATTTCAATCCAATATTATTGCACGGCATCTATAACGGTCCTTTTCTGAATATTTTATATGTATGACAATTTTTCTTGCCTAATTTTCACAACGTTTTATGAACCGTGGTGAACTATATTTAATGAAAACTATGCTCATATAAAAAAAAAGTCCGCTCAAAGCTGCTTTCACCAACGTGCGGCAAACATCGAAGAAGACGAATGTGTAACAGTGAGGCTGGGACAAATTGCCGACTGGTTTGTTTACGTTGCCTTTATTGTGTCCCTTCGACTGTACGTGTCCACCCGAATGTCTGCAAATGAATCGCGAGCACTGCAACCATTCGCAGCGTTTCCCAGTGGCTTCATCGACGTATTTTGGTTCATTTCCGGGACACTTTAATGCATGGGAGTTACGGAACGTTAAGCACCTCAGTTAGAGGCACGCTCGAAGTCCCATAGTATAACGGCTGCAAGAATTTGACGAACTTTACCTGGGTTGACGGCGTTGACAAGAATGAGAGAGGGTCCCTGCAGCATCATCAGCATCAGGAGCAGTCCAGCCATCTGCGAAGGAAAAAATGCGAATAAAATTAGGTTTTTGGCTGAATCAAGGAAATGTATATTTTCTATGTGTGTCTGTAGTGCAACTCGTGTCTTTCCTGTGTATTGCACCTCAGTTCATCATTGTCGGGAATCGAAGTTAACTACTGGAGAAATCCAACCAACCAGGAACCTTTTGGGCTCACTTAACGGTGCCGCTAAGCTAACGAAAATAGACACAGTGCATGTGAGGAGGTGCGTTTCAATCACGGTGTTTAAACACTGAGACGCGGAAGGAAACTTGAAGACAAAGTAGAAGGGACAGAAGAATCTGGGCAGAGCCTTTCAAGTTGAGACGCCCTCCGTTTACTTCCTTCTGTTCCTTGTACTTTATCTTCACGTTTTCCTAGCAGTTACGGGGTTTAAACATCATGGCTAAGCTGACATTTCCCCACGTAAATCTCTACGTACCACCCAACCAACATAGGTGCCTTTTTGCTTTTTGCGGGTCTGATGTATTCTAATAACTACCACACTTATTCGTTCACAAATATGACACGTTAACTAACATCAATAGACTCGACCAGTATAGCCTCACATGCTGCGGGACATACAATAAGATGCTCGGGGCTTGCCAGACATTGCGTTTCTTAAATTGTCAGTGGCTCTAATAAGTTCGCGCTGAAGACGAGACAACTGAAGAACCTTTCTTTTATTCGAAGCTTGTTGGGGCCTTTACTCAAGTTCTCCTAAATTAACATAAGAAAAAACAAATTCCCCTAAAAACTGTCAAAACCCAATAATGTTAAAAAAAGAAAATCCTGCTAAAAAAAAACAAAAAACAGCAACTTGCAAGTCTTTCTGGCTTATTTTTGAGCTGACAGACAGAGCTGTACATAGCAGCTTTTACTAAAGCTAGTGAAGTTCCCGCATTGGGACATTCGCCAAAAAGGAGAGCTCAAAGTCCCGGACGGAGGGACCACTTTGCCGAACTCATTGGACCGCCGTGCAAATTGCCAGAGCTGCCGACTTGTATTGCGGCAGGTGCTAGCCCGCGCTGATTCTATTACCGGAAGGGAAGGGAGTGCGTGACGCGTCGAGTCGCTAATTGTTCAGGACTCGCCGCTCCCGGAGTAACGACATTAGCCGCATGGGTCGCTGTGACACCCTTTTGGGAACACCGTCGCTGAGAATCACTGCACCGGTCGAGGTTGGGAAAAGTTCAGCATAAGAAGGAGGAGAGTGCGGGTAATGCAGGTGTACTCTCTTCGACAGAGTTTCACCCTTAACCGCACCACGCATAGAGAGCTATATCCTTGCGAGCATGGGGAGGAATTTCGCGCCAGCCTGCCGGTTACATCTTTGGCTGGGAAAGCTACCAGCTGGTGGTGAAAAAAGAAAACAGTTTCTGGTTTTTTTCTCCGACGAGTGCAGTGAAAAGTGCTGTATCTTTTCATATGCAGGGTGCTTTTTTTTTAAGCTTAGCAGATTTTTTTTTTTCAAAAACCACGAAAGCTAGATTAATGCAGTCTGTGCAGGTGAGTTATACGGCCAGGGGGACATAATATAGGAGGCTAATCGTAACGATCAGTCGGCTAATTAGTGTAAATTCGTTAATGAACTTTTTAATTAATGAAAGTAGATATATAGCTCCAATTAGAAACTTGCTTGGCGTCATCCAAAACCCCTAAATCAGTCATTGTCAGAAAGACTTTGAGCACGTGAGAAGAGTAGTAGTGCACTAAAGTTAGCACTCGTTGAGCACTTACAAAGCTAGCGGTTGCGATAAGGCGCCCGCGCAATTTTTCCGTCTCTTATCTAGCCCCAGCCTTGTACCTGCTCCATGAGCGGTAACTTTAGTGCACAACGTACTACGCTTCTCACGCGTTCAAAGTCTTTCTAAAAATTACTGATTTAGTGGTTTTCAATGACGCTGAGAAAGTTTCTAATTGGAACTATATGTCTATTTTCATTAATTAAAAAGTTAATTAACGAATTTTAACTAATTAGCCGACTGATTGTTACGATTAGCTCGCTATACTATGTCCCCCTGGCCGTATAACTCACCTGCGCAGACCGCATTAACCTAGCTTTCATGGTTTATTTTTAAAAATTCTGTTAATCTTAAAAAAAAAAAAAAACACCCTGTATATATACATATATATATACGGAAGAAAACGCACCTGAGACGGTTGTTGGAGTTTTTAAAACATATTATTGGTAAAGTTGGTCGACGTTTCGGCCTGAGACAGACCTTTGGAAAAGGTCTGTCTCAGGCCGAAACGTCGACCAACTTTACCTGAGACAGACCTTTGAAAAAGGTCTGTCTCAGGCCGAAACGTCGACCAACTTTACCAATAATATGTTTTAAAATCTCCAACAACCGTCTCAGGTGCGTTTTCTTCCGTATATACTTTTCGTCATCCTGCGCTTGGTTTTTTTTCTCTACATATATATATATATATATATATATGTAATAACAGCGCGACTTTCAGTGCTTTAATAATATTTTTTTAATACATTTCGCCTTTTAGGATTGACACATGATGCTTGTACAATGTGAAGAGGTTAAATGTAGGTGAATATCCGATGCACGTGATTTGACAAGTTATGTTTCGAATATTTTACTGTTGAATCAAAAGACTCGACAGTTTGTTTTTACCTCGTTATTTTTACATAAAACGTGGCTTCTTGGGAGTATGACTGTCCTACCTCACATTTATTGTAATATGACTTACTTGAAGCTCAGCCTGGAGCATAGGTTTAAAAAAAAAAAAAACATATAGTTTTCAATTAAACATATTACACCAGTATACATAAGACTTGGTTCAAGATGCTATTTTTCAGTCATAATAATAACGTGACACATACGTATTCGCCAATTTCTTCCATCTTTTTAAAGATAGAGTTTATAAACCCGCCCTATATAAATGTAAAAGCAAATAACGATAAAAACGAACAAATAAACTGCTTTCATAAAATAAAGAGTCCGTACCATGTAGACATTGAAACTATATCACTTAATTTTGAAACTACTGGGGCGAGTCAAAGCCTTCAAAGCGTGTATGACGACCGATCAAATAAAATGCCCCTAAAAACCACTAAAAATTGTTCCACCTTCTGCATAATACATGGCAATGTTCACCAAAGGTCCCGGTCTTCCTAACCCCGAAATGCAAAATCTGACCGTTTTTGGCAAGACATCAAACTGCCCGTTCCGAGCGGACCGACTCCGAGATAGCGGCGAACAATACACGGCTTCGTCAAATGGCCCATACGTGACACGTTTGCGCTATATTTCCCTCGATAGATTGCCAGCACGTGAAGTCATTGCGTTCGCCGTAAATGTGACACGAGCTATCCATTTTTATGGCAGCCGTAAAACAATACGTTCGACGCTCCTCGCTTAATACCTCAAACGGGTCATTCCAAGGAACCATACGACGTTACGCATGGGCCCCCCGTGTCAACAAAGCGAACCAATTATGGTAAGAAAACACACACACACACACGCACACGCGCGCACACACACAGACACACACGCGCGCATGCACGTAATTTATCAACGTCATGCAATATTCAGTTGGCTACTCGTGTTTTACATTGCTATACTCACGGTCAATGTAAGAAACAAAGTGCGTGTCAAGTCTCGAGCGCCTTATTATCCCTTCGTTTACAAGTGTGCAGCATTAGCAGATAAGACCGCCAAACATCGTTCTTATAACCGCCATTCCTTCTTCGGCACTCTTATAGGCTTGCGCCACAACCGTATTCCCTGCAGAACGATAATAATATGCGGGATGCTAGTCACGCTCTGGGCTTCTTAAAGGGTGACAAACAGGGATCTATGCTCGACGAGTTTTTTTTATTTAAACATGACCTATCAGAGCCCCCCTACCTAGAACATGATTTGCGGCTCAAAATTCGCACTCCTTCCGCCCGAGTGTAGCCGGTCGAGACTTGGTCGGTGTCCAGACGCGCTCACTCTCTTTTTTATGGTCACGTGGCGATCAAACGATGACTACGAAATATATTCAAAGCCATGGGTTCTCTAAGGCACACATTCAGTATTCAAAATAGTAAAGGACATGAACGCCGTTTCGTGGCCTTCAAAAAACAGCAAATACGTTGATCGCAAAACACAAATATTGCACAGGTCACAGGAAATACGTGTACACGTCAATCTCAATATGGTGGCGTACCACACGGGCTGGACGACGCGATGGCGGCTCACGACAGACCAACGTTGCGACAGGCGTGGGATCGCTATTGCGGAACTGTCTTTCGTGGAACCGTCCAATCGACCTTCAGGCGCAGGACATCGAACGGAAGGGATATACGTGCGAAACAATCGCACAACAAACGGTGCACGCAACTACGTCGTCGTGTGCTTCACAAACCAGAGAAATGGTGAAAAAAAAAAAAAAAAAAACACTGGTAGGGTGTAGTTACGTGACTTCTGGCAATGAGTTTCCGTGCTCGTGTTCCGGTTTCAATTTCAAGATTTTCCTCTTTTTTTTCCGTTTTTAAAGATGTACATGGCCGCAGCAAAATATTGATTGTGCAGTTTTGAGGGGTGTCATTGTCCCTTTCAGCTGTCAGTCACTATGGTGTTTTTTAGATTGCTTTCTTCACGTGTTTGTAGACGCTGTCTAGTCGTGAAGTTAAGATGACGCAAAATTGGGTTTTTCGCGCGAATAAACGAACTAAATTATTATTCAAACAAAATGTGCTTATCGTAGTAGACTAATTCACCATATCCGTACTGGTATACACGAAAAATAAAATATGGAAATGTTTGGGTTGCGGTCTTGATATCCGCCGTGCATAATAAACAACATGAAAACTGATTTGTGAGCACTTCTTAATTACACGTTAGAACAGGCTAAAAATACTGTGACTTGATATATACTGTTAAAAGTCTAAGGACGTTAAAATATTTATTGTTGGACCAATCTAACGAAATATAAAACTCGATATTGTCAATCCTGGTGAAGCGCTAGATTCAGAAGCTCAAACCAATTTGTGGCCGGAAGAATGATGGACTTTTGAACGTCCCCAAGCCCTATATTATTCGGTCCTCAAAGATGATTGAAGTGTCCATAATTTATAACGACCTCAAAAACCACGATGTTCCCTGATCCCAGCTTTGTTTACACCGAGCATAGCAATATTACTTGTTGTCTAATACCAAAATGTGATAAAATACGTATATTCATTTAAAAACCAATATATTTTGTCAGTACTTTTATTTTAATAGCTTGGTACGTAGACAAGCGGGCGGTTGACTTATTTTTTTTCCGAGACACAGCGTGTAAACCTAAACTTCAATGTCACAAAAATACGCACTTCGTCTCCGAAATTGTCTGTGCGGAAATTGTTGTGGCCTCTTGGGAAATCGCGTCCGAGCGAAACCAAAAACTCATTGTATTATTGTGCTCAGTCCAGCAAGAACAACGTCTTCCGGGTTTCTCTGTTTTTTCTCAGGCCACGACATAAAGAATAACATTCCAGTCGGGATGTTCCGACAGTTTTATTAACCCGCAAGCTGGAGGTGAGGAAACAATAAAAAAAAAAAGATTATGTAGTTCTGTCAACACAAGGGACGATTTCATATTTCTTGTGGTCACCCGAATGTTTCGGAAAGAACCTAAAATAGTATTTTTATACTTCGATTACCTTAGCAAGAAGCGAAAAACGAAGGAATGATATTGTTTTTTCGTTGTTGTTTTTGTTTGGCTCATGGAGTAAGAAAAAACAAAAAAAAATGATTTGAACACATTTGTAGGCTTTGTTGATGAAACTAAGGTGCATGTGTCAAAATAAGTCATTCGTTCCAAATTAAACTTTACTTTTAAAGACACTTAAACTTTTAGAAAAAATCCACAAAACTTTAAAACGCTCATATTGATCTGCGATTGAGAATAACGCTCGTACGAAGTAAAGCAATTAATTTATTATTTAGATATCATATGTTCTTGAAATGACAAAAAGTAGGGACATATAGTTTGTTTTACTTTATTTTTATGCTTCAGACTTTATCTCGACTCGCTGAATATAATTAAATGCATTCTTACGGCACCCCTGCAGGCGCAGAATACAGAACACTTTAATGAATAAAAGAACAAATTTCTTCGAGGTAAAAAAGCAATATGATGAGAAAACATTGATGCGAAGTTGGCTTCTCAGCTCATCTCATTGAGCAAATCAGAGGAAAATAAAAATAGAAAAAGCTAACGTCGCGAATCAAAAGCTGAGTTATGTATGAGTGCATCCAAAATGCAATCACATAAGCGAAGCAAGTCGCCAAATGAAGCTACGGTTCTCTATGCAGCAAGATAATGGATGGGCACTGGTAGGATAATCAGGTAATTACTCTTGTTACTGGACAACTGCGTACTGGGTGGTTCATAAATATCTACTTATGGATTGAATCTATAGAATGCTTCTTCATGGCACCATTAAGAGTGTGGGGATGTTAAATTTGAACTTCTGCCATTACGTGCATAGTTATTGAGGAATTTTCTGCACAAGAGCCCAAAAGCAATGAACCGAATCGAATTTATATAAAATATTTTACTTGTGATGTGAATATAAGAACGCCAACTTCCCTTGCTCAATGACTAGGGTCAAGTTCAAACAAGTCTAGTTTTTAAAAGAAAAGTGAGTGCGCCAGATTACCATACCTTTCCTTTATATTTAATAAATTCAGAGTCAATCTGTTCCTAACAAAAATGCGATAAAACTTGGAGTGTTATATAAGTAACATTTCCAGAGCCCATGCTGAGACACCATAGAAAATCGTGAAAAGTAAGATGGTTCAGTATGCCTTAAAATTGGAGATTCACTGTTATCATTCAAAACAAAAATATGATAAAGAGACGTGCCTGTAGTTTGTAACGTTCTTTTGGGGTCTATTTTTATATACTGCTTTCACCTGAGCTAATCTCCAGTCGGTAAAATCTCCTCGTTCAATACTCTTTTTAGACCGTAAAAAAAAAAAAAAAACATGTGGCAATTGTTTTTGTACAGACTTTAGAGTCTTAGGTTAAATGGGATTCGGACCTATCGTCTTTATTTCATCTAGATTTTTCTAGATTTCTAAGACACTTACATAACTCATCTTCCACGGCGTCATCGGAATCATGTATCGTCCCGGGTTGCAGTGACACTGATGTACTGTAAATGTCTTAACACTTGAGAGGACCTACTTTTCGCGAATTTCGCGAACTCAAAAGAATCGCAAAAAGGTTATCCCGCGAATGCATTACCTGTGCTAACTAATACATGGCCTGCCACTCCCAATCGCGAAATCTTGTACCCGCAAAGTATTCCTCAAGTTCACACTCCGCCAAATTCGCGAAATAGCGAGCCCCAAAAAATAAAGTAGTTTACATTATTTTCTCCCAATCGCTTCCAAGGCAAACCACCAGAACAGCAGCAATGCTTTTACGTACGCTCAGATGTATGCGTGACATACTTTCTTGTCGTTTCGTAGCCGGCTTGATGCATAGAAGATATACAACTCTGTATAATCGTGACGTCAGTCCAAGGCCATGCACTGGCTGTGAAACTGCAAATATTCAGATCCTTTGTGGTTTACAAAAAATAGTTTCTGTACATAGGGGGCACCACCGGCGTATTCTACGGGCAAACGATATTGTTGGCGAGGATCGAGTTGGTTGAGAGGAGGCGAAATATGGCAGTCAGGGGGAAGTTACAATCACAATACAGAAAACAGTAACTCAAGAGCCAACTTAAAGGACAAATGCTAAAGTGGCAGTTTGAGAAGGAGAGAGAGGAAGAGAGAGAGAAAATGGCTGCGATCCGATAATGCATCATGTGCTGTATTTAAGGTTCGATCACCTAAAATGATTTAGAAGAAATTAAACCGTCGTTTTAGGCAATAAAGAAGAACCCCTTATTTTTTATCAATTCGTCCGCCACATCGATCGGCAAAATTGGGTGCATAGGTCACATGGCATCAATTTTTCCCCTAAACTTAGCGGGCAAACTATAATGGTGTGTAGGCTACGTTACGTCAATATTCCTTTTATACTTAGTAGAAAAATTGTATTGATGTATGAATCACGAGTAATCAGGTTACGGGACGTAAATTTCTCCGCCAAATTTAGCAGGGAACGTGAAAGTGTTTAAGTGACTTGACATCGATTTCCCTGCCATATTTCCCGGGGATACTGAATTAATGTATGGGTTTCGGGACATTAGGTCACGTGGCATGACATTTCCCACTAAATATAGCGGGAAAGGTAAATTGGTACATAGGTCACGTAACGTCATGTCACCTTACGTCAATTTTTCTGCTATATTTAGCGAGCAAACAGAAGTGGTGTATAGGTCATGTGATGTCATTTCACGTGGCATCAGTTTGCCCGCCGACTTTGGCGGGGAAAGTTGACTGGTGTATAAATCACGTGACGTCATGTAACCTGAATCAACTGACGTCGCGTGACCTAAAGGCGAATTCTTTTCCCCCGCTAAATTTAGCGGGAAATGCACGGACGGACGGACGGGCAGAAGTTCGGGATTGGTGGTTCCGTTAAAAAAAAAAAAAAGCATTTCATGCATTAAAGAGTGGATATTTGAACAAATACCTTACTCGGAGAATACACGTTTCTCCGCGAAAATACGTTTACCTCGGCGCGGACAGGCCTTGCGTAGTTTAGACGATTCAATTCGCCGCGACCTTGGGAATTTTCCTTTGAATGGGGAGGTGTGGCTGGCGGGGCATCTATGGTTGGGGACTAGCCAACCTTCGGTCCAGAAAGACGTCTCCTCTGTCTCGGCGAACCCGGTGTCTCGGTGCGTCGGCCCTCGAAAGCACTCGAGAATATTACTAAGCGACAGGCTGCTCGATAGGCGTGCGTTTTAGACGTGGGGCGTCCAAACTACAGGATAATCGTTACGGTAGGCACGATGCTAGGTTCAAAATGAGCGGAGCTAAATGTATTCGTTTTGGGAAGGTATTTCGTTTGAACGTCGTCTTACCTGCTTCGTGGGAGAGCATCCTTGGAGATGAGCTAGCATCCAGCCAAGGTGCGCACCTCTGCTGACATCCTTGCCCCGACTTCAGGCTGAGCCCTGCACAGGAAAGAAGCGCGGATAAGCCAAGGGGCGTACAAGTTACCCATCACGACAAGAAAATAGATTGTTTTATAGACATGGTACCGTAATGACGTCACTCAGAGAGGGAGTCACACACTGAAATGATGTTGAGCTGGTCAGTGTTCTTTCTTCAAAACAACTACAAAAGCAACCTGAAACTGAAAGACAGACAGAAAGATTCCCTTTGTGGGTAGGTATTTTTTCTATCCTCAAGGTTCATAGTGCGGATCCCGAAGTCCGATCAGTGCGACACGCAGGTCAGACACGGGGCGGTATTCTTTGAGAGTTTTGCTCTATTCACCGTTTCCGTCTGGCTTCGGGAAGGCAGCAGCTACTGAAATTCGCCGAGTGATAACTGCCAAAAGAATTCTTTTGTAAAAATTTAAGAATTTATCTGGACAACACGTACGACAGTCTGAAATCTCCAATTCAAAATATGCCTTGTAAGAAAAAAAAAATGGTTACAAAGTTAGGTAGAAATTTTGAGTTAATTAAGTAAGTAATTTTTAAAATTTTCACGCTCGTGTTTTGACGTTCGCAGCGGTCAATGACGTTATTCTGGTGGATTTATTTTTAATCTTTTTTCATTTCGAATGTCCTTTTTGTTTTGAATAATTTTCGTCTTGCAAAACAAAACACTCATTATATTACTTCTCATGTGCGCACTACTGAGAGTTAGCGAGCTCGAACACACTGTGCATTTCTTGTTGTTGTTGTTACTTTCCAGTCGGACGTCTTTTAGAAAGTTGAAAATAAAAACAGAATCGTACAGCCCCTTGCAGGGCCTGAAATTATTTTCTGCCTTCATAAAAAAGCGATGGCTGTAAAACTGGAACTTCTGCGCCTCTGCGAACGACATTAAAACAACCAGTGCGAAGGCTGACTGCCTCCCTTTTGCTGCTAGCTGGATATTAGTGAGCGGCTCACATTTACATATGCCATTCGTAGAACGAGAAATATCCCGTATTTCTTTTCTTCTCGGGACTAACTGTCCCACGGGGAACCAGCATGTGTCAAACGAGTCGTAATAGCTGCCGAAGTAGGATTTAATGTAAAATAATAAACAAACATTTACATTTGCGCTATAGCGAGAAAAAGAGATTTTTAGCTCCCGTCGCTCCACTGGAACAAAAAAAGAATAAGTTGATAATATTTTCTTCTTTTTTTTTAACTAGAGGGCGAACCGTTTCGAAACACAATACCCTAACGGCGACCGGATTTTTATTTTGTATTAGAATGTTCGAAACGCCGAAACTTTGCTAGAACCGTTTAATGTTCTTGTTGGACTTAGAGTCGCGCTCGGGTGTGCGTGACAGATTGTCGCGAAAAAGAGCTCGGTCTCGTTTTGAGTATAGTATGAATTGTTCGCGAACATTCATAATTCGCGAGTAATATATGTCCGACCGAACTTTCTATTCTTAGTTCTTGCACCTTTCAAATACTACATTGTAACTCGTTTCATTCGTTCTTTTTTTTTTCATTGTCTTTAATTGTTAAACATAAAAGTTGTATTCAAGGTTTCGTCTCCAACGTATTTTTCTTCTCGAATTTATTCATGTATTTGTTTCACACACCAGACACTGGTATACGCACGTTCCATTTTGGTAAAACCAAAGTGGCTTTCGATCAAAAATGTACCATTATTGAAGAAAGCAATATTACTCTGTTACGTCAAAAAACGGCGTATGCTCCGTTTTAATTCACGATGGAACGCAGAGGACGGGCCAATCCACCCACGGCAATTCAATGCCGTGCGCATGCGCGTCACGTGAAAGGTCACGTGACGCACACATGTTCACGTCGCCGGACTGGCCGGGGTGACTTGTAGCGGCGGCTGCGGTTTGTTGTAAGGTTAAACGAGGAATAGACGTGATCAGCTATTTAAAGCTGGAACAAACGGTGCTTTCTTAGGTGCACTACGGAAAAAAAATTAACAAATGCATTTTTTTTCATTAGAATGGAGGTGTAATCTTTTATATATATATATATATATAGGTGGGGCAGAGTAGCTTGAGAACAATGGACCGGGAAAATGTAAAAAGTCAGAGATCCGTACTTGCGGAGTTGCTATGCTAGGAGTTTATTGCATGTATTTCGACAGTTTCGCCGAGAGGCTCGGCTTCGTCAGGAGATGGCATACATGTCATCTCCTGACGTATGTATGCCATCTCCTGACGAAGCCGAGCCTCTCGGCGAAACTGTCGAAATACATGCAATAAACTCCTAGCATAGCAACTCCGCAAGTACGGATCTCTGACTTATTATATATATATATATATATATATATATATATATATATATATATATATATATATATATATATATATCGAAAGTGTCAGTGTTGAATATATCTCCGCCAAGGAAGGTAATCCGTTCGAGTACAAATGTTTAGCAGGTTTTCGAGAACACGGTATGGGAAAACTTCACCTTCTTTTTACAGCGTCAGCCACCGGAAAATATGGTAAGATAGCTAATTTCTTTCTTCTTGTCAAACGGAGAGAAAAAAAATTATATGGAAATAAAAGATTGATTCTGATGTTTTGTAATAAAAAGTATTTTAAAAAAAAGGCGCAATACTTTTTTTTTTACATTTTTTTCGCTTTACGCTTTCTGATATTGTAAATATTTTCCTCCTTCCTTTGCCCGCCTCAGCTTTAACTAATTGTTTGAGCCATGAATTACTTGAACAATAGGTTCATTCGCGCCCGAATTCATTTGTTAATTCTGCTCGGTTGATTGTCAACGCTGAAAATACGATAAAAATTGACGGATGGAGCTGAAAGATAAAGGAAATATTTTTAGCGGCTTCCGTTATTAACAGAATTGCAAAAATAAGCTGCTGCGCATTGCACGCAATGCTTGACGCAGTTAATAGGAGCATAATAGTCGTAAATTTATTTTAAATTTGACTCGCACCGTTTAGTTGCGAAAAAAAAAACACACTTAACATTATAGTACTTAGAGGGGCAGATTCTACCACCATGGTATTTTTAACAACAACAATCTAATTGTATGATATAAAAGGAACAATGTCAGGGGATCGCGCGTTAGTAATAATCCCGATGCACTCTTCACTTGCGGCTACCATATTTTCCGGAATAAAAGTTGACGTTTTTTGTTTTTTCTTCACAAATTACATCAGTGCGTATCATTAAACAATGCAACCTGTATGCGTTTTTTTTTATTTAGATTAGGGGCACTAATGGCGAGGCATGTAGTCGATATTCACATTCGCGGCAAAGAGGGGGCCCGCCGATGGTGTGCTCTTCGGGCGCTGTCCGAAAACATTTTAAAGCGTAGAAGCGTTCATCCACCGCTGCAGCGATTAACACGACAGAACATACAAGTGCGTATTATACAAAGATACGGCTTATGTTTACCAAAGCTCTCATGAAAACGACCACGTAGAGCGAGGTGCGACCTATACAACGGTGCGACTTAAGAGACCACAAAAGCACGGTAGATCGGATCCCGTCACACCGCGAATCGGTGAAGCGCGGAACAGACAGCGAGCCTACTCCTGGGCCGGCTCAATTGCACTAAATTTGAATTGTGATGAGTTAAAAAAGCAAAAAAAAGTTGTTTATTTATAAACGGAACATTTATGTTTTCTTTCTAGTGAAGGAAAAATACAAAGAAGGTGCATAGAAGTTGGAGGAAAGAACTTAAGAAGGAAACTCCTCATACTTCACACGTTTCGCCAGAGACTTAGTCCTGAAGAAGCCAAGAAGGATTAAGACGAAAGCTGAACGCGGCAAATAAAAAGTGATGTCATCGGTGGTTCCGACGGAAATAACGAGAAAGAGGCAGACAAGAAAGCGGAGAAACACAGCAAACAAAAGTTTCAGAAGTTTTTTCTTCTTTGTGCAATTCTCGACGCCAGACTTTTCGTGCACGCTGAATCTTGAACAAAAAATCTAAGTACAGATCGCACAGACCATAGAGGTAGGAAGAAGAGAAGGCAAATTACCGACTCCGACCCCCCAAACGAGAAAATCTAATTCGAAGCTAAAGAAATAGATGTCGCAGTCGGCGGGACCGCCACCAAGTCTGACCAAAAGAGGTGTTGGTGTCAAGTTAGCTGCCCTTTTCGTCCAATAGTTTTTTATTGTGTTTTGTTTGTTCTTGGTCGTCGTTGAAGGCGTGACCCTCCAAACCGGAAGTCTCCCCCAGCGTGACCTCTGGCGGCGTCCTGTCGCCTACAGAAGCTTCCTACCTCCATGGTACAGACCTTGCAAGTGATGTTGCGTTGCTTTAGTGTATATTTGAGGAATATAAATCTCCAGGGACTAGCAGGGACAAGCAGGTCCGCGTGCACAAGCCTGCCGTTCCGAGGTTGCTAAAGTGCACGGAAAGATTGCGGGCGTTGTCCCATAAATTTATAATATGAAGTCTTTGAAAGAAGGCAAGTTCTTTAGGGAAACGTCAGTTGCTAGAAGAATCTGGAGTTGGGCAAGTTGGTACATCTTAGATTCGAAAAGCTCCAGAAAACAAAGACAGCAGAAAGAATAGACGAAACGATGCGCATCGTTTCGTCTATTCCTTCTGTTGTCCTTGTTTTCTGGCGCTTTTCGAATCTAAGTCAGTTGCTATTCTAAAAATTGTAGGGGTATTATATTTATTATTTAGAACTTGTTGATGCGACATGAACAGTGTTCTATTCTACTGCAGTGACATTTAATTTGAATGATATAAAAAAATAAGAACAGTTCATCAAGTTGGGAGGTAACAAGCTGTTGGTTAGATTAGCTTTTAGTAGTGGCTCTCCGTCCTCCTCCCAGAAATGTGACTGAATTCCTTTCTAAATAGCAAAATGGGTATCGAGAATAGTCATCAAGTTCGTAAAGTGTATGATAAAAGGCCTCCTCCATTTCGCTGTTTCAGTGGAGCTTGTTTACTGAAAAGACAACAGTTGTTCGAAT